AAGCTGACAAACCCAAGAAACAACAAAAAGTACAGAGTCGAGTTCCAAGTGGTAGAGGAGGATTGTAAAACACCTCTACTTGGGAGAACAGCTAGTGAAGCGATGAAGCTAATACAAGTTAAATATGATAACATATGTGCTTTGGACAGCTCAGTGACAACAGCTCCATCAGAGAAAAACATGTAGTTGTTGGAAGAGATAAAGACCGAGTTTCAGGATGTGTTTACAGGAGATGGATGTTTGCAAGGTGAATATGAGCTGGAAATCGACACAACAGTGCAGCCCGTCAAACTGCCAAAACGCAGAGTCCCAGTGTCGATGATGAAACCACTGAAAGAGGAACTGATGAGCCTTGCAGACAGACAAATAATAGCACTAGTGGAATGTAGTACTGATTGAATCAGTGGGATGGTGACAGTGCAATGGCAAATGGCAAACCCAGGATATGTATTGACCCGAGACCGCTCAACAAAGCTTTGAAGCATAGTCACTTCCCATTACCAACAACAGATGACATCTTGCCAGATGTGTCAAAAGCGAAAGTTTTCACAATTTGTGATGTGAAACATGGCTTTTGGCATGTGAAGCTTACAGAAGAGTCAAGCTATCTCATGACATTCGCAACACCATTTGGTCGCTTTCGTTGGCTGAGAATGCCGATGGGGATCAGCCCAGCGCCAGAGGTCTTTCAGCGCAAACTGATGCAAGCGTTAGAGAACCTGCCAGGCACATACATCATTGCTGATGACATCCTGATCACTGGAAAAGGAGAGACAACTGAGTTGGCAGAAATGGATCATGACAGAAACCTGAGACTTTTCCTGGAACGCTGCAGAGAGAGAGGAACATCAAATTAAATGTGGAAAAACTCAAGCTTAGAAGACAGGAAGTACCATACATTGACACTGCAGTGTGATGTCAGCGAAACAGGACTGGGAGCAGCTCTGACTCTACATGGAAAACCAGTGGCATTTGCAAGTTGTGCACTGATGCTCACTGAAAGAGGTTATGCACAAATTGAAAAGGAATGTTTAGCTATTGTGTTTGGGATGGAGAAATTCCACCAATATACATATGGTTGTCTTGTGAGATTGCAATCAGACCACAAGCCACTCGAGAACATTATTAAAAAGCCACTGTTACATGCACCTAAGAGACTGCAAAGGATGTTCTTAAGGCTGCAAAAATATGATATAACCATAACATATGTTCAAGGCTGCGACATGCTACTCGCTGATACGCTGAGTAGGGCCTACTTGCAGGACAGCATCAAAAGCCAGATGGAGTTGGAGACAGAATGTGTCAACATGGTGGACTATGTACCTGTTTCAACAGAAAGCATGGACAGAATACGAGCAGGGACAAGAACCAACCACACACTACAAACGCTGATAAAAACAATACAAAAGGGGTGGCCGGTCTGTAAGAAAGATGTACCTGTTGAAATGACTCAGTTCCAATCTTTGCAGGATGAACTGAGCACACAGGATGGACTGGTCTTCAAGGGAGAGAGAGTGGTGATTCCAGAAGCACTCCAGGCAGATATAACACAGCAAATTCACTCAACATACATCGGCACAGAAGGGTGCCTCAGGAGAGCTAGAGACTGCGTCTACTGGCACGGTATGAACGACCACATCAAAAAGTACATCGCTACATGTGACATATGTCGGTCTGTGGATGCAAAACAACAGAAAGAGACACTAAAACCACACGAGCTGACCACTAGACCATGGACCAAAGTTGGGACAGATTTATTCAACTTTGAGGGTAGGGACTACCTAATAACTGTTGATTATTACTCCAACTTTTGGGAGATAGATTATCTACCTGATACCAAGTCAAATACTGTGATCAGGAAACTAAAGGCTCATTTCGCACATCAGGGATCCCCAAATATTGTTTTTTCTGACAACGGGCCCCAGTACAGCTCGACAGAGTTTGCCAACTTCAGCCGGAAATGGGAATTTCGACACCATACCTCATCACCTGGCTATCCGCAGAGCAACGGCAAAGCTGAGTACCAAGGTGACCCTGAATCCTCTCTTAGTTGTGCTGCAATAGACGTAGGCTGCCGGGGGATTCCCATGATGCACTTGATTTTCACCTTTCTCACTCACTATGTGTTAATAGACCTCTCTGCATTAAATCATACCTGTTACTAATCTCTGTCTGTCTTCCACACCATGTCTTTATCCTGTCTTCCTTCTCTCACCACAACCGGTCGCAGCAGATGGCCCCGCCCCTCCCTGAGCCTGGTTCTGCTGGAGGTTTCTTCCTGTTAAAAGGGAGTTTTTCCTTCCCACTGTCACCAAAGTGCTTGCTCATAGGGGGTCATATGATTGTTGGGTTTTTCTCTGTATCTATTATTGTATGATCTACTGTGCAATATAAAGTGCCTTGAGACGACTGTTGTTGTGACTTGGCACTATATAAATAAAATTGAATTGAAATCATTGATCCTACGCACATCAGTCGATTTAACGTTTTTCTTTTTTAACATTTGTTGTTCTTCTCCCCCCAGTTGCTCTTCCACCTTTCTCAACTGGTTCACACTAAGCAGCAAAACCATTTTTTTTTTTTTTTTTGCCATTTCTCAACATATCTGATACTATCAAGTCCAAACTTTTTTACCATGGAATCAAAAATGGAGTTTTCACCCAGACCACCTAGAGGAATGCCTCCCACAGCCCCACTGGCCATTTTACTGGGCCACTTTCCCATAATGTAACGGAGCGTCCTCCGCTCAGCCTTTCTGCCTTTTTTCACTGGTGCAAAAGTGCTAAAAAAACATACACTAGAATGCCCAAGTTGTTGAGCTCCTAAGATCCTGCACTTACTACCGCAACAGGGCGCAATTTCTCACACTAGAATACTCAAACTCATTGAGTTTCTAGGACCCTGCACCCACTTGTTGCAATAATAAGGAGCCGAGGCTCTTCCCGTTGGTCTGGTTGAAAACCCTCCCCAAATCAAAACCCACTCACCGTTGCAGATTCTTTGCGGTTCCCCTCTTGATTCGTCAGAATTCCTGCATGTTAGAGTCGCTGAAGTACATCTTGCGGTTCCCCTCTTTTTTTAAAACAAAAGAACAGTGGGAGTGATGTAATTTTACCTCAGGATGGCCAGTCACCGCTTACCCATGATTCAGCGAAACTCACCCGAGGAATCCTGCCGGACAACGCCAAATTGTTATGGAAAATCTTGAATGAAAATGCACCCAACAGGCGAGCGTGCCTTTTGAAGTGAGGTAAATGGCCTATATTTGTATAGCACTTTACTTAGTCCCTAGGGACCCCAAAGAGCTTTACACTACATTCAGTCATCCACCCATTCACACACAGGTGATGGCAGCTACATTGTAGCCACAGCCACCCTGGGGCACACTGACAGAGGCGAGGCTGCCAGACACTGTCGCCACCGGGCCCTCTGACCACCAGCAGTAGGCAACAGGTGAAGTGTCTTGCCCAAGGACACAACGACCGAGACTGTCGGAGCCGGGGCTTGAACCGGCAACCTTCCGATTACAAGACGAACTGCCAACTCTTGAGCCATGATATTAAAAAAGAAAAGAAAAACTGCAGGGGTTAGGAGTGACACTCCTAACCCGTTTTTCTGAGGGAAAGACATCAAAGACTGAACCCTTTTATACCTCCCAAACAAAGAACATTCCACAGCAGATCAATTATTAGCAGATCCTTATCTCTTCAGTCTAGGAACAGTTCCGACCAACCGTCATCTCCTCTGCAATAGGATGTCCAGAGCCCTCAATAGGAAAATGAGTCTGCTTGCGAAGGTGCAATAAAACTTGGGCCCCACTTGTGATCACATTCCACAGGAGTACAACTGATGTCAAGAGTGAGCTTTCTATACTGAGTACAGAAAGTGTTACTACTATTACTAAAATGATGTGATTAATACACAAATGAAAGAAATCTCCAGTACATCCCAAACTTCTGAGCGGTCATGGGTGTGCGTCTGTATGTATGTGCAAAAAAAAAAAATCTGTGTAAAATTTACACAAGGGGAAATGTCTGAGACATTTGCTAAACATATGACTTTGTAATGTTAATACTGAAAAAACAATTCACATTCTCTTAAACTCAAATGAAATTTCCTTCATAAAACAAAATGTAAGTATAGAAACATACATATAATCTTCTGGTTGCTAAAGTCAGCATGGACATTAAGCTAATAAACAACAGCAGATCTTTTATCATCTAACAAATATTTTATGTTAAGTGATTATGTTACAAATTATGCAGAATCTGGACATGGAAGTACTCTATGGTTTTTATATTTTCTTCTCTACTTTAGACAAAAGTAGTCTATGGTTTAGGTAATTTGATGAAAATGGTATTTTATTGTGCATTTAGTTTGAGTTACAACAGCATTCAGATATCAGTCCAGCTTTTCCATGTTGGCATTGGTTGTGCCAACCTAGAATACCATTAGCATTTTCAGTGTTACCTCTTCATTAAAGGAAAAAAAAATGTAAAGACAGAACACCACCGGTATGTGTGTTGAAGAAGTCTGATTTAATAGTGTATTGAAAAATAAGTTAACTTAAATAACTTTAAATACAACATAATGGGGAAAAACAACAGATTATAAACATTCTTTGCCAGCAAGGGGTGAAATTGCAGTGCTCATGTAAGATAAATTTACACACACACACACACACACACACACATATATATACATATACACACACACACATATATATACATATATATATGTAGCATTCCTTTACATCTAGTGATTTGAAATGAGGTTTACCACCCAAACGTTCTGCCAGCTAAAAAAGTCTAGAAAATTTATGTTTATAAAGGTTTATATTTCATACACATAGCCTGTGTGTGTGTGTGGCAGTAAAAAGAAGTACACTGTAAAAAAAACAAAGAGCACACAGTGGTGACGTTGTGGATGGAATGGTTACAAAAGAAAACTGATCAGTAAAGCAAAGTTTTATGACCTCTGACCCTGAGATCAATGCCAACACTTGGAATGAACCTGCCATTCAATTTACAGATTTTGGCTTTGAAAATAGAAACACTGGACCCACCAATCTGGACCCACAAAGTGTTGTGTTACATATATGCGATGCAACAGATCGAATGGCAAACAACTCAATTTTTTGGTGTTTTACTATGTGGTCTTGGGTGGTTTAGAAACAAGAGGAGCTGACTCAGTCCATCAGATCTGCCAAGATAAAGAGGACAACGAGGAATGATGAAGGGAAGAGAGCTTAAGTTTAATAATAAACCCCCCCAAAGCTAAATAATAAAAATACTCTACATTGCTAACCTGAGCTACACTGGAGAATAAAAATGAAAGTTTTACTCAAATACTGGCAGTCAGGTTAAGAGGACCAACTAGCAGAAAATGTATAGAAGCTGGAGATCCAGACATAGATAAACTTAATAGCTGAACATTTAGTAAGACATCTTTCTTGGTAGGTCAAGTAGAGAGCTGGAAATGTCTCAGATCTGTTGAACAAATATTTTGGTCGCTCTATGCTAGTCTGCACTGCAAACATACATGAGTCTGATACCTCATATCTTGCTGTTGGAAAGCAAGCAGGACTCTGACAAAGCCGAGTACTAAAAAATAAAGAGTATTTGGAGGTAAACACGTCAAGTCATAATCCACTTAAAACAGTAAAAAAAAACCAAACAAACAAAAAAAAAAAAGAACTGACTGTCTTTTGTCAATCGGTACAATACACCTGCAGATCATTCTACTAAGGTGAATACTTAAGTGCTGAGCTGGTTTTATCAAAACTTTGCTTCCTTTACTTTCAGCTCTTTCCCAGATCCAGACAAACTAATTAAGGTAACTATAGATTACTATCTGAACTAGCTTGATAATAACATTAAAATAATTTCTTAACCTCAGAAAATAACAAAAACAAAAAAACAAACAAATTGCTGCATAACTGTCATTTCCATCTTTTTCAGAAAAGGTTCAACTGAAGTAAGACTATAAAAATCACTTAATAATGAAGAGAACTGGTTGGAGCCCTGACCTGAAATCATGTTTGTTCATGTCACAGGGTTATTTTATTGTATACACCCTACATAATGTGGATTGAAAGTTTTTATGGCTGATATATGTTCAGCAGAGTCACAAGAAACACTAAGAGAGTTTCTACGAGTAACACTGTAAACTTTGGTTGTGACAACTATTTGTATTGCCGCCCAGCGACACAGAAACCTGATGAAGACAAGAGGAAGTACCGCAAAGAGAGAAGTGAGGAGGGTCTGGTGACATGCTCTTCATACATACATTCAGATAAACGGGGATTAATAATGTGCAGTCATTATTTGACAGGTAACCACACCTGGTATAATGGTGTAAGAATGGCCACCCACACTAAGAATCATAACCCTCGTTGAGAATAAAATACATCATACCACTTTGTTCAGAACTACAGCGTGCCCTTAAACCCACAGCCAGCATGGCGAGGAACCATCATCTATATCCAAAAAACCAATCTATTTATACATTTCAAATCATTTTAAAACAGGGCAGAAGGTGGATGTGACAGGAAAAGGGAAGAGAGAGGGGGAGAGGAAAAAAAACCCAACATGACAGGGAAAACATGGTGTGCTGCTAATTTTTCTTCTTGATGTTGTTGTTGGAGGTGAGCCGGGGCCGTGGTGTTGGGATAAAGCTTCCAAACAGGACTCGACTTCGGGCCACCTCAAAGACTTTGGAGAAGATCTGGAGGAAAAGGAGAAGGAAGAGGTCACATCAGACTTGAAGTTCTCTATGCATTGGGTAACACAATCTCCACTTTGACCAACTCTGCTCCAGCTCAAAATCCCATCCTCAACGCTGCAGTATTATTCATCTTTTATCCCATTACAGTTTAATATTTATTTACCAATCACATACAGCCAGCTCTGGCTCATTTTACAGCAGCCTTGATGTCAAAATGTGTGCAAATAATCATGTTGCTAGGCAACCTGGTATGCCACAATAGCTGCTTTATACTGTTATATTATATTTTCTATGGTGTGAAAATGATGTCCTGGGTTGTTTTAATTTTTTCTTCTTTCGAACCCTCACCCCCCTCAAAAATCAGTATTTGATGAATAAGCCCATTTCAGTTTCACTCAACACATAACGTAATGAAATCAAAGCTACTAATTAGTACTCCTGTACTGTATCCGCAATCAAAAACTTATGTTAAATTTATTTGGCTACCTGGACTTGTTTGGAGAGGAGGTAAATGCTTTCTCAATATAGCAGGATCACTTGAGGCTGGGTCTAAAGGTGAATATTTTAAAAGTGTTATGGACTGTTAAAATGCTGCACAGCATTAAAGAGCATTTTTAGAACCTGGTACAAAGAAGGTGTTAGCCTCTTGCTCCATAACAGCTGTTTTCCAAGTTATCTTGGAGTAATATAGGTAAAGCTTTATGTTGGGTGTGTAGTAGTTTGACAGGTGTGCCACCAAATGGAGCTATAGTCAGCATCTATCTACAAGGATTTTTATACATTATTAAAAAAGGAATTATATGATACATATTATGGCTCGAGTTTTGGGCAAA